ACATGACTGTCCGTATGGACCAGGCATCACAGGTTACAGTTCTACAGAACACATGACTGTATTTAATGTAATTCAGTAATCCCTAGAGAGTGGCTGGGTTATGGCTCATTCATTCTCTTCAGAGATGGGTATGACAAAGACCTGAGAATGCATTCAGCAGGTGACATTCAAGTCACACTAAACACTGACTTGTGTTAAACAGGAAGGGCTACGAACCCTGTGTGTTGCCTACAAGAAGCTGGAGCCAGAACAATATGAAGATGCTTGCCGACTGCTACAGGATGCCAAAGTGGCGCTTCAGGATCGGGAGAAGAGGCTAGCAGAAGCCTACGAGCAGATAGAGAAGGACCTCATTCTGCTTGGTGCTACAGCTGTTGAGGACCGGTAACGACGTCTCGTGTGTCTGTGTTTAGTCACAAATGGGAGAGGGGGCTGTGAGAGTGGGGTGAAGAGCAGGTAGCACATGTCCTGTGCCAGTGTGTTCTTCCCGAGGACAAGGCTCATCTGTTTTCCTTCACAGAGAGCAACAGCCAGTAGATTATTAGTGGGTGATATGTTACTGACCACAAATCGGATGCCTGGGAGGACACTTTCCCTCCAAGTAGTGACAGTAACATCTTCACATTACATCATACATGGAGGATTGGCTTCTTTTCATGCCCTAGAGAGGAGTCAGTAACCATTTTCCCAGCTGCTGCTGGATCCTCTGTGTCTGTGACTTTGTGTAGCTCAGTGTCCTCAACATGGTTGTCATTGTTTGTCAAAGACAGTTACAGAAATGAAGTGGGCTGTTGTAAAAGCCTGTGACGTCACTGAGAAAGTTTCTGGAATTCTCAGTTACAAGGTGAAGAGCAAGGCACAGTGCAGTGGCCTGAGGGCAGGCAGGGACAGGCAGGGGACAGGCAGGGGACAGGTGGGGGAGCTGCTCCTGGGACTGGCTCTGATGGCCTTGCATGGAGCCATGTGGGCAGCTTGCATGGCTGAGTTAGTCTGTGGAACTTGGAGGGTTGACACCCAGGAACACATAGGGGTGAGTGGCAGCAAAATAAATGAACTTTTTTCCTTGACAAGGGTTCTCTGGGTAGCCCAGATGACATAGACCATGCATCCCCCTGGGATTACAGAAACAGTGTTCTGTTGAAGTGATGTTTGGTCACAAGCTACTTGTTTAAAACCTGAGCCAGCACATTGGTAAACTTTCCTCTCTGGGACTCAGGTCCCTTACTATTCAGAAAATGACAAGGTTGGAGGTGGTTTCCTTCATCTGTGCAGCTGTAGTAATGGGATCTCCACACCTCAGGCCACAGACTTTCACCCAAGGACTAGTGTGACTTTGCAGGGTTCTGTAGAAGAGAAAGGTCACATCAGATTTCACACAGTGCTGGCACATGCTAAACCACTGTTTAGCTGTGGGGCCAGTGCCATTATTACCAGTGTCTGATATCTTACTTAGAGCCTGGATTCCTATGTGATAAGTAGCAGCATTAGAACACATTGAACCAAAAGAAAAGATGACACCTATTTCCCAACTTTATTTTTCCATTTTATTTCTGGTTGTAATGATTCTTCTTCTCAGTGGAATGATACTGGATTGTAGGATGTGAAGCTCAGCAAAAGTACACCACACAGAGCAGCCTCCTTACATAGCCCTCCGTGGTTGACAGAGCAGCCTCCTTACATAGCCCTCCGTGGTTGACAGAGCTGGGCAGCACATCCTGTGTGCACTTGGACCTTTGGGAGGAAGTTCTGGTCCTTTCCATAGACCCTCAGCCACTTTGCACATGCTGTTCTGTAGAGCTGAGTCTTTTGATAGCGCCATGTTTCTTGAGGTTGTTTACTTTGGTGCCCTTTGGATCCTCATCCCCTGGGTTCCATGCTCTTAGGCTCCAGGAGAAAGCTGCTGACACAATCGAGGCACTACAGAAGGCAGGTATCAAGGTCTGGGTGCTCACTGGGGACAAGATGGAGACAGCCTCAGCCACCTGCTATGCCTGCAAGCTATTCCGCAGGAGCACACAGCTGCTTGAGCTGACCACCAAAAAGCTAGAGGAGCAGAGCCTGCATGACGTCCTCTTTGACCTGAGCAAGACCGTGCTGCGCTGCAGTGGAAGCCTGACCAGGGACTCCTTCTCGGGGTACGAAGCTCCTCCCACCTCATGGGACCGGGGTCTCTGAGGGCAGTGACACCTGCATCCCTGGGGGTCAAGTAGATGCGCCACAGCTGGGTATGCCTGGGCAGCCAGTTTCAAGCTGCTGGGCAGAGACTGTGAAAAGCTGTTTCGATTGGGACAGCTTCCATCTGCTGTTGTGCCCATGGGTCCACCATGCATGCCTCAGAATGCTGCCAGAAAATCCTGAAGGCAGTTAGTAATAATGGAGGCTGTTTTTCTGAGACAGCAGTATTGCAGAAGTTGAGTCTTCCAAGAATATCTATGGGTTTATTCATGCATTTTACAGGGCACCTATACCAGTGTGGACGAGTCATCTGACTCTGACCCATTGTCTTACGTTTGTATTTATTTGTTCTGGTTGTCAGCATGCAGGTGCCACAGTGTAATTTGGAGATTAGAGGAGAACTTGCATCAATATCTTCTCTTCTTCTACGACATATAGGCTGTAGGCTTAGAGCAGGTGCCAAGCCAAGACCCTCCCAAGACCCTCCTTGTGGTGTCTCAGTACTGAGACTTACGCAGACCACAGCAGGCTGTGGCTGCTTTGCCTGAGCAAAGAAATGTCATTCAAATGTTATGTACAGTGTAGTCCAAGAGTAGGACTGAGTACTGGAAAGACTAGTGAAGGGCAGAGACCCGCAAGCGTCCTCATCCCATGAAATGGCACAGTGCCTGCGCCCACGTGGTGTTCCGGACACAGCGGTTGAGTGCTTTCCCCCTGTGTGTGCTCTAAAAGCTCTCCACAGACATGCATGACTATGGGTCACGTGGTGTTCCGGACACAGCGGTTGAGTGCTTTCCCCTTGTGTGCTCTAAAGGCTCTCCACAGACATGCATGACTATGGGTTGATCATCGATGGCGCTGCACTGTCCTTGATAATGAAGCCCAGAGAGGATGGGAGCTCCTCGGGCAACTACAGAGAGCTCTTCCTGGAGATCTGCAGGAACTGCAGCGCCGTGCTGTGCTGCCGCATGGCGCCCTTACAGAAGGCCCAGGTATCCGATGGCCCACCCTGGGCATGGGTGTCAGTCAGGTGTGGGGAGAGGCCCAGGTCACAGACTGGCCCACCCGTGGGCATGGGTGTCAGGCGTGGGGAGAGGCCCAGGTCACAGACCGGCCCACCCGTGGGCATGCGTGTCAGTCAGGCGTGGGGAGAAACCTTTCCTAAGTCTCACTGTCTCTGGTTGTTAAACAGTTAGGAGATGTAAAGATTTAAACCTTAGGCTTAGGCACAATACATGTATGGAAGTCTACGAAGAATTTGACTTGGAAATCAAGAAATAAAGAGAAATTGTGAATAGTACTCGTTGCATTAAGTTGACATATTTGATTTTCACATATGACAACTTTGAAAATTAAAGTAGCATTAAAAACAACTTTTTAAAATTGTTTGATACTAGGTGGCATGGAATTTCAACACCTTTGTGCAGACTACAATGCTAGCATTGGCCCCAGGCCTTTCTGATACCTGAACATAACTCTGATTTTGTCTTCAAAATTTGTGTGTTTGTGAAGTCTTGTCAGTGATCATATCTTAGTTTTTATGAGACTATCTATGGAAGAAATAGTCTGAGAGCTGTAAGCAAGCAGTTTCCCTGTTTCCTGTACCAGCTCTATGTCTTTGTTGGTTCTGCCCAGTTAATTACAAAACCGAAACAGAGAAGGTAAACTCCGTGTTTCTTTCTTTTCCAGATTGTGAAGTTAATCAAGTTTTCAAAGGAGCATCCTATTACCTTAGCAATTGGTGACGGTGCGAATGACGTCAGCATGATCCTGGAGGCCCACGTGGGCATAGGTGAGCCACGGCTGCTGCCATCGGGGTACACGTCACGTAGACAGAGGCTGTGTCGTGTGTGCGCAGGGACCTTGGGCCTCCACTGTTGACTTGTACTTTTGCAAGGGGACATACCAGGCAGTGGTGTGCTGGGCTTAGCTGGCTCTGGCTTACCAGCCTGTTTGCTCTTCTTATTCTAGGTGTCATTGGGAAGGAGGGTCGCCAGGCTGCAAGGAACAGCGACTATGCAATACCCAAGTTTAAACACTTGAAGAAGATGCTTCTTGTTCACGGGCATTTTTATTATATCAGGATATCTGAGCTTGTGCAATACTTCTTTTATAAGGTAGGAAGTATTTCTTTTCTCCTCTCAGTTTTAGTGGCATGAGACCTTTGTCAGGTAACTTACTGCTTCCAGGGGCATTTACCACAAAAAGAACTGATCATAAAGATTGGGTTGTTTCTATAACAAGAGGGTACTGGGTAGCCAGACTTTGCGACTTTGTGGGTTCTTACTTCCACCTTTCTCCACCCTTTTCTTTCACCCTTTCAACCCCTAACATGAGATAGGGAGAAAAAAGATAGAGGGGAAAGGGGGTGAGTAACCGTTAGACTACTTCCTGCTGATTAGGATTGTTGAGTTCCTTGAGTTTGATCTTCACCATCAGGGTATCTAATTATTTCCCCTCCTCTTTTTCCTCTTCTTCTTCTTCCTCCTCTTTCTCTTCCTCCTCCTTTTACACCTCTTCCTCCTCTTCTTACTCTTCCTTCTTCTTTTCAACCCATAGCAAACAACCAACAACTCATCCTGCCTCTTGGGGTCCTAGCGTTTATATACCCTCTGAAAAGTTCTCAGAATTCCAAACATCACACAATCACAACAATCACAGAGACTGTCTGCAGCTGGCGGGATCAAACCCCTCCTAGAGCATGAGGCAGCTCATAGTCACAGCTGTGGAAAATCCCCATCGCTCACACCTGTATTAAAATAGAAACATAGTCTTATAATATTTCCGTGGTTTTCAAAGAAACCAAAATTCTTTCTATAATCCCTGACACGTGTTGAACCTTGTCAGAGTGCAACATACGATGTCTGAGGGTGGTGTCTTCAGCCCTCTCCATGTAGGCAGGCAAGTTCTTGCTGCTGGCTCTGTCACTGCCATCTTTGCTCTTAAACCAGTGCAGCTCCCTTCTGCTGCCAGTGAGCACCTGGGCCACCTCAGATGTGTATGGAAAAGCTTTTCCATCACCCATGCGGCTGCTGGGTAGGATGTTGGGCCCACTTGGAATAATCCCCCATATGAAGCATAGTGTGTGGACAGTGGATGGTGATCTCTAGGCTAGCCCGTGCATCTCTGCAGTGCTCCTGAACTAACAGCCGTGACTTATTTTTCAGAATGTCTGCTTCATTTTCCCTCAGTTTTTGTACCAGTTCTTCTGCGGATTTTCACAGCAGGTCAGTCTGACGCCGTAAACTGGAAGCTCAACACAGTCTTGTCTTGCTTCCTAATGGGGCGGTCATGGTGAGGAAACAGTCTTCAGGGATGTGCAGACAGACCCCAGGGAGCTGGTAGGGGCCCAGGTGCCATCCATCCTGCTGCCCCTGGGGGGCCTGTCAATAGACACAGCTGAAGGAGCAGGCTACAGAGATGAGGAGTTGCCAGCCCCCAGTCTGGGTGTCCTGAGGCTGGGTATGTCCCTAGACACAAGCCTGCAATGACCTAGCCAATGGCACTCTGGGTTGTACTTACACTTGACCCTTCCTAGGTATGGTAGTCATCCTTGAAGTCTGAGGCATTGAGGTATGCAGGATGCTAACATGTGTGACCTGGGAGAGCCCCTCGGTGCTTGCTGCCTTAGCAGACACACTTCTGTCCCGGTGTGCTCAGATGGACAGTGGCCAGCAGCTTGTATCCAGAGCCACCAGGGCCAGGCCAGCTGAAGCTTGGAGATGTGAAAGTGGAAGGACTTGCAAAGTTTGTGATCCTAGCTCTACCTGACAGATGTCCTTCATGAAGTTTAAAATCTGTCTCAGTGTCTGTCTCTGTAAAATGGCAGCTCTTATGCATTTTAGGTACATTTTCTATATATTTAAGCTTTTTGCAAATTAAAAACTTGGGGTTCATTAGCTGTCCACTCTAGCTGAGTCAGTGAGCTCCAGGTCACCTGGTGCTGACCTCTGGCTTACACACGCACACCCACACCCACACACCTGTGCACATACACAGTAATATGCTGCATCGTGACAGCAGTGTGTGGAAGCCGCTTTGGCGTGCTGACCGCTTGTCTTGCAGGCTTTGTACGACACTGTACCTGACAGTGCCGACCGCTTGTCTTGCAGACTTTGTACGACACTGCGTACCTGACCCTCTACAACATCAGCTTCACTTCCCTCCCGATCCTCCTCTACAGCCTCATGGAGCAGCACGTGGGCATCGACGTGCTCAAGAGAGACCCGGCCCTCTACAGGTGTGCGCCTCTGTCCCTGTACATGTGTGAGCCCCTGCAGCTTTTCTGCACAGCACAGGGAACAGAGGGAGCAGAGCAGAACCCTCCCGTCAGCTCCTGGTGGTGGTATTTAAAGTCGGGGTCACATGCTTCCACAGGACGGTAGTTAAACTGGCAGTGTCCTGGAGTGTGCTCCGTAGGTGACGGGGTCTACGCTAGGCTTGAGCACACATGTGAACCTGCACCTCACAGCCTGATAGAGATGTGAACCCCTTCTGCATTCCAGCTCAGAGTGTAACCGGCATCTGCTCGGCTCCCTTTCTTAGCGTTAGGGCAATACAGCTTTTCTCCTGTTTCAGAACTGCCCTGATTTTCTGACAGATACAGTGCTTTTTTGTTGTCTTTTTCCACCTATGGCATAATAAGGAGCTTCTGGTGCTTTTGTCCAGGTTCCTGCAGTAACAATGAGTTGGGTGCTACAGTATAGCTGCCAGCTAGCATCCAGGTTGTCGTTCTTCACCTACCTCATTCAGTTTGCCCAGGTCTCTTGTCTTGTCGTGTGTGTGCACACAGATATGCACTTAGTTCTGTTTACTTTCAGAAGCCACATAACATCAGACACCTTCTCCTGTCCAGTTCCACAGGTTTCGGGGTCTTTCTGACAATGCCTTGAAGCTAGAGGAAATAGGTGTGCTTGTGTATTCATGCACACGCGCGTGCACACACACACACACACGCACACACTTCTGCTGACATGCTTACTCTTGTAAAATTAACAGTTGTAGAAACTCAGTGTAGCATAGTAGCAAACCCAAGTCCTCAGTGTGCTAATCAGTATGTCAGATGGTGTGTGCTGTTGTGTGGTAATCACATTCAGAAGGCCAGAGAGCACCAGGTTCTCTCTGACAATATTATAACTGAATCTGAGACAGAATAGTCAAAAGCCAACGGAGAGCATTGGGTACAGCAATGGGAATTCTGAGGAGTATGTGGGCAGCAGTGACGCCACAGAGGGGCTGAACGGGTGGACCTTGGGCTGATGTCACAGTTCTCCCCTCTTCTTCTCAAACAGAGACATCGCCAAGAATGCGCTGCTGCGCTGGCGGGTGTTCATTTACTGGACATTTCTGGGCGTTTTTGACGCTTTGGTATTTTTCTTTGGTGCTTATTTCATATTTGAGAACACAACTGTGACCGTCAACGGACAGGTGAGTACTGCACGCGCACGAGCGACCTCCTGCTTTATTGCTTAGTCTTAAGCCCCGCCGTGTGCAGTCACTGTGTGGAGCAGTTGTGTGGGAACAGGTCGGCTGCGGCTAGGTGTGATCAGTGGAGCAACTGTGAGGAAGGAAGGGACGAAGGGACGTGTCATTTGCTAGCCGTAGGGAGTCAAGGTCGGTCCTGAGGTTTTCCTGACATCCCAGGGGCTCCATGGTTTCATCCAGCCAATGTCTTTTTATATGGGAGTTAGGTTGTGTGAGTGTTGCTCCACAGTGCGTGGGCGTGGCCCCTTCTCAGCGAGCAGCTCTATAGTTCTCTGAAGGACTACAGCCTGTTGTTTGCCTACTTTCTGGGGTGTGTTATATTCGTATCTTGCTTTTTTTTCTCTTTGCCACTTGCTTCCTTCCCACCTCAGATAATGACCACCAACACGAGCATGGTAAGACACTGTGGCTTTGTCCTCTCTGTGGTTTGCAGTGCATTACAAATAAAATATTTCTTGAAAATATTTTCAAATGTGACCTCTTCTGTGTGCTTTGTGGGTAGAAAAGCTATTAGCCATTCCTGTCCTCTGCTGGTGCCAGAGTCGCCTGACTCCGCCAGGTGTCTTCTCCCTGGGTCTCTGTCAAGGCTTCTCTAGAAGGGGAAATGGCCGCATAGGTCTGCATGTCACTGTAAATTAAGGTCAGGAGGTCTGGTGGGGACCTGGCATTGGTGGTATACCTGTGCCACCTGGGGAGAACCAGAGGTATCAAGTAGACCCTAGATCTTGTCCTCATAATCTCACAAGTCCCAAGCTTAGTTAGTGTTAAGCCTGGCTGAAGTCACTGGTTCTGAGATGGCTGTTCAAATAAACACTGCAACTGACGTCAGAGAAAACTCCTCCTAGACGTTCCTTCCTGGAGCTTGAAAACAGAAATGCTTCTCATTTCTTGTTGAGCCAGCTCCTCTCCTGTCCGTGCTGTCTTCCCCACGCTGGTCCCTCAGACTGTGCGGTTGGAGTGCCAGAGTCTGGCCTGTCTCCTGGCAGTCTGTCTCCCTGTGCATTTGTTTCTGTTGCCTCGTAACTAAAGGTGCTGACCTCTCGTAGAGTAACACACATCAGTCTTCACTAAACCAGACTCTGAAGATCCGCTGAAGCTCACTTCCCTGTTTTCAATATCTCGAGCTTTCCCATAGATTCCAGTCCTCTTTTATTTCCATCAGACAATGCCTGTCCATAAACATGGTGCAGCCTCCAAGAAGCGTCTCATCCTCCACATGTGTCTTAAACACACAGGCCTCAGCACTCAGCTTTCTGTTCACTGTCAAACCTCGCCTTGCCTTGCAAGGACCCTTCAGTGATCTGGTGGTCACTGGTGTAGGGGGTTGAGGAAGGAGCTTGCACAGGCTGGGAAACTGGTGTAAGGCCTAGCCAGAATTCAGACCCTGACCTGTGCCAGCGTGGTGCCCTCCACCCCAGCCCACAGCATCTCAGAGTTTTAGAGTACAGCAGACATTCCGGGGTGGGGGTGTGGCTGACATGGAGAGCTAGGGATGAACTCCGAGGGGCTCTCTCTTTCAGGAAGACAGCAGCAGTGACCTCATTTCCCAGGCTATCCCAGAGACTCTCTTCAGTGTCTCCTGCCTCTTATCACACTCCTGGGGTTTTTGGGAGTATCCTGCCAGGCCCTGCTACTGTGCGTAGTGACATTTCTGCTGCCTGTCATGGGAGCTCAGGATTCCTGTGTTCCTTTGCCTGCACTCCTTGTCTTCCATCCCTCAGACAGTCCTTTAGGCCTTGTGTGGGTTACTAGGAAGATGCTTCCTGATGGCCCTGCAGTATCTCCCCCTGACCCCCCATCACCGACAGGTCCACCCTTAGCCACTGTTAAAATGTTCATTAAAACTAGAAGTGAGTCTAGAAAGCAAGAGTTGCAGAAACAGACTCACCTGAGCCTCCTGCAAGGCTCTGCCACCAAGAAGGACCTTGGTGACGGCCTTTGCTCCACACGCCGGCTTGTCAGTAGAAGCACAGCATGTATGTTACATGTCTTGACACAAAATAATTCCCAAAGGTGGCTTCCAGGGTCACCCCAAACCAGTACTTGTCAGGACAGGTATCACAAATTTACAAGGTTTATATTCAGAGTCAGCTATGATGGTGACTATACTCTGGTCAGGCTGTGGAGCCGAGAGACAGGAGCCACCTTGACATCCCTCCACATGTATTTCAGGATAGACAGTGGCACCTATCTGTGAGGTTGGAATGGAGGGGTTGAGGTGACAGGCCAAGGAAGAGATCTGGTTTTCAGTCATGCAGACCACCCTCAACCTCCACCCCAGCCCAAGCCTCTGGGGACCCCTACTCAACCTGGATCAAGCTGGTGTTTGGGGATATGAGGTGTGAGAAATATTAGATTTGCAGGACTCAGGTGCAGGGTGGCCACCTGGTGCTCCTCCCAGGTCTGCTCCCCAGGGATCCAGGACACATCTTCTGGATCTTTCTGTTAAGAAGCTCGTTCTGTTGATTGCTGTTAAAGATTTCTCTAAAAAGCTCTACAGCAGTCCATGGAAACATTCATAGGTCTCATGTAGTGTGAGGACAGTGGAATTATGAATAATTTCTTAAAATTTGCACCAACATCAAAATTCATAAATCCTTTTTTTTTTTTTTTGATGCTACCAAAGCAATAATCCCCATACCCTAGCTGACCCCTTGGGTGCTCCTAGCCTGGTATTTAGTTTGGAATGTTACAATAGTCAGGAAACACCTAGTGGGCAGCTTAGTCATCCATGGCAAGTGATCACAGCACAGAGCTGACAGAGGGATGTGGAGCCGGACCAGAGGAGTGCAGAGGTGGGACTGTGACCTTAAGAAGCCAAGCTATGTCTGTCATGGAGTATTACCACACGTAAAATGAGGTTGGCTTTGGTGAACAGAAAATCCCTTCTGAGAATACTCACCATCAGGCACATAAGTGGGCCTGCTCAGGAATGTTCCTACAGGGCGAGGCTGTGTGAAGTCAGTCAGACCACAGATGGAGGTGTATTGTTGTGTTGTATGTCCGTCGGCTGAACAGTGAAGGCACGTCACTAAGGCGGTAATCACTCAGCATTCCTTTAGGGGTATTGTTGAATATGAGCCATCAGTGGAGGTGTATTGTTAAGGTGTGAGCCAGCCAAACCACCAGTGTTGGTGTTTTATGGAGATGTAAGTCAATTAGACATCAGTGGAGGTACGCTGTCACGTCCTGGGTAAGCCAAGCATGGCTGGGGCAAGTGTAAAGGTGACGTCTGTCCAAGGGACTGGTGACTTAGGGAATTTAGAACATACTGAGTGACTCTGGGTAGGTGGCCAGAGGTTCCTACTGGACACAAAGAAGGAAATGAAGATGATACAGAAGCAGCTCTGGTGATCTGTCCATCCCAGGGAGCTGGCGCTCACTGTCGAGGAGCCATGGGAATGGGGAGGACATGACCTCACATCTCCTAGCCAGTCTCCAGTTTCTCATTTGAGATGATTCCATTTTACCTGCCTATTGACATGATGGTGGTGATCATGTGTCCTGTAGGGACTCGGGGCCTGGTGCCTCATCATGGCACCCAGGTCTGCCGTCACCCACCAAACCCAAGGAAACCTGGAGTGGGAGAGGGATACTGTCCTCCCTATAGCAGGTGTGGGAGGGAACAAGTTGCTGAGTTTACCGTGGCCTGCGGTGCAACACTGCTGGGGTCTGCTTGTCTCCTTGCTTGTCCCCTGCTTGCACCTGTGCCCGTATCATGCTGATATCTGTATTTTTAAAGAGTGCTCTCACTCTGTGTCAACTGGTGGCCCAGAAGAGCTGGGGTGGAGGCAGGGGCTCCCTTCTGCCAAACACAGCCTTCACAGAGGCTCTCCTCTGCTCACTGAAGCTCACCATTTGACTCACACCTATAGCTTCTTGTTAAACAAACCAGCTGTTTGCTCCTAACACCCTGTTAGGTACACACCTTCATTGCTGCTGCAGCTCTGCTGCCCCAGAGGTAAAGCATGTGAGAGAGTGCTTGTGATTTCTCTGTCAGTCCTGCACTCTCTGCACTCTGGGCTTGGTGCTGGCTTTCTTTTGTGGGCCCATCTAGCATACCATGCAGCGTCTCTGTGCTCTCCCCGCTGGTGGCAGCAGGAGCCACTCTGGAGTGACAGGTTGGCCCCTGACTAGAAGCCCCTCACATGAAGGACTCAAGGCTTCTGTTGGTGCTGTGTGTAGGCCCGAGGAGGAAGGCCTTTCCTTAGTAGGATGAAGAACAGGACTTGGCATCCCTCTGCAGTCGATGTTTCCACAGAACCCTGATGCTTCTCTCCTACCGTGCTTCATGTACCCTGCTCTGACCCCAGGGCTCCTGCAGGCCATGGGCTCCTGCAGGCCATGGATTCACAGCAACCCAGGTTCAGAGTATGGTTCTAGGCACATGCTTTGATTAAAACTAACCATAGGCAAAAGTACTGGCATCCTAGGCAACCCAGGTTCAGAGTATGGTTCTAGGCACATGCTTTGATTAAAACTAACCATAGGCAAAAGTACTGGCATCCTAGCCTTTTGATTCTTTGTGAAATAAACTTTTAAGAACGTTCTGGCCACGGTCCTCTGAGAGGCGCAGTTTACAGAGCCCAACAGTGTCTGGCTCATGCAGTGTGTAGGGAACTTCTCTTGTAAAAGGCTTGTGTAGACCGGCTTTCCTAAGAGAGGGCTCGCAGCCGCTGACCTCACATGTGTCTGTCTGTAGTTGAGAAACGTGTTGGCTCTTTTAGCATGTGACGTGTGTCTGTACCCCCCACCACCCTGCCCGAGTTCCCACTAGAAGGAGGGCAGCCACATCTGCTTGTCCTCTTCCTCACTGGTCAGTTGTGAGCAGCTGTGCCTGTGGCCAGGGCCTGGCTGTGGGAGGAGTAGCCATTGTAGCCTCTGTCTAGTTTGTGCCACCTGCCCACTTCCTCCTTGTCCTGAGGTTCCCACAGAGAAGCCCTCCCTGATGGCTGTCACCTCTGTGTTCTGGTGTCTCCTCTGGCTGTCTCCTGCAGTGTTCTAGCAGCTGTGCCCCTCAGCTGTGGGCATCTCTGAGATGTCACCAGAAGCAGGTTCGCTGAGTGAGTTCTTGAGCAAAAGAGCAGACCTGGGGAGTATGGTAGGCATATAGTCTCTTCTATAGGAAGCAGCCTAGCCAGGGTCCACGTCTGCACCATGCATATTGACTCCCGCCTTGCGGTCTCTCCCTGCTGGGCCTGGAACCTAGAATCCAGCAGGGCCGGTGTCGGGCCAGCAGGACACCAACACAAGTCATCCTTGACCCAGGCTTAGCCATCATGCTGGCCTAGGGCCATCTGAACTCTTGCCTTCTGTAGCTCAGGAAACTAGTCTCCACATCCTTGGGCTGAGGTGCAGAGGCCGTGGGTCGTACTCTCCAGCGTCCATGTCCAGGATAAGGGAGGAGAGGTGCATGGCAGCAGGCACTCACTGAGGCTCTTGTCTTCACAGATGTTTGGGAACTGGACCTTCGGGACGCTGGTGTTCACTGTGATGGTGGTCACGGTCACACTGAAGGTGAGTCACTGCTCTCTGGACGCACATGTGCCAGTCGTGGCCAGCCTGCCTGCAGCTCGCCTTGAACGCTTGGGTTGGGATCTTAGATCCACACTGACACTGGCACCCCCGTGCTAGGTTCCCGAGCTGTCTTCTTCAGTTCATGTCCAGGTCCCAGCAAGTGAATGCTGCATACCACAGGAACTGCAGACTCACTCAAAAGAAAATGAAGAGCTGAGTATTTACAAAAGGGTAGGAATTGAATGAAACCCTCTGAGGATACAGAGCCCTAGCCCCAACAGAATTAAATCAGCTCTGTTTACATAAATTAATGCATTTAAGAAAAAAATTAAAATATCTGTTTTATTTTTATTTATTTATTTTATGTCTGTGGGTGTTTTGTCTACATGTATGTTCGTATACCACTTGGGTGTCTAGTGCCCTTGGATCCCCTGGGACTAAAGTTACAGATAGTTGTGCACTGGCGTGTGGGTACTAGGAACTGAACTCAAGTCCTCTGGAAGAGCAGCCACTGCTCTTAATCACCAAGCCACCTCTTCAGCCCCCAAAATTCAGTTCATTAAAGTCAAGTTAGACTTTGTGAAGAACCTCAATATGAACGTCCCCAAACATGTTCCACTGGGTCCTTAAAAGTATGGAGACTTCTCATACTGCCTTCTTAGACAGCAGTATGTCAGCATGAATGATACTTCATGATTGTGTGTGTGCGCGCACACACACGTGTTCTCACGTGTACACACATGTACACATGCACACACATGTCCCAGCTGTCTCCTCCTGAGGAAACATGGGTTCCCTCATGAGACGTGTTGCTCTTGTGAGCTCTTGTGGCACTGTGCCATTATGTTTCAGTTTTGCTCACTTTTCATAGTTTCTGGTCCTCCTTTCTGCACGCTTGGACGACAACAGTATTTACACCTCCTTCTCTTATAGCTCGCACTGGATACACACTACTGGACTTGGATAAACCACTTTGTCATCTGGGGGTCGCTGCTCTTCTACATTGTCTTCTCCCTGCTCTGGGGAGGGATTATCTGGTAAGAACCCTTAAACCCCACGTGCCCTCACTGCCCCACACCCCTGCACAGCTTGCAGCCTCCTTTCTGGAGCTGCTCCCAGAACAACTGTGTCCCTGGTGTCACAGTGCATTTTTGGGGGCTCTAGCAGACAAGTAGTTCATAGTGACTGAGTGGACAACCGGTGTGGTTTGCTTTCCATGTGTGTTCTCTGGGGACACTTTCAATCCACAGCCCTCTGACATAGTGTGGGGCAGGATCGTATGGCTGATAGTGCAGTGACATGCTCACAGGACTTCAGCACCCCAAAGTCACATAAAGAATACAGTGTCCCCTTCAGCCAAGTAGTTACACTATGGCCAAAGGCCCTGTGAGCTGAGAGCCCAGAACAGAGAGCAGAGAGAGGGGCAGCAGCCACATAGAAGTTTGGCCTGTGTGCATAACTCTTTGCTCGGGTAGGTTGACCTTGCCTAGTCCTGGCCAGGCTATAAGGCCCAAAGCAAAGTTCTCCTCACTCAGAATCACAGTCCCTGGGGAGGAGCAACCTTAGACAAGACCATCCTTGCCTCCTCCCTCCCTGGCACTCAACCAGGGAACCTTTGTGAAGGCTCACGGAGCCCTGCAGAGACAGAGAAAAGCTTTGGGCAGCCTCCAGCCACCAACGCTAAAAAAAAATCCAAAACTGAGGTCCTAGCAGGCCCTAAGATGGTCAGGATGGAAGGATTCAGGAGGGCCTGGGACCTTGGCCTGTGAGTCACATGACCTCTATACCCTCTCTGTTGAGTTACGTGGCCAGCATATAAGCTCTGGGCTCCCTGTCTCTGACTTCCCCCTCCCCACACTCACTCCAAGTATCACCCTGTCCACATGTAGGTTGTATATGCTTGGAGGTAGGGCTTTCCTTTGTCCCTGGGCTGTTCATGGTGCCAGGAAGTAGAAGGTAATTCCCAGGTCTGAGATGGAAACAGGGAGCATGGAGCCGAGGAAGCTATGTCAACATAGCGTGTGTTCAAAGCATTTGGGCCTACTGGCCAGTGTTCCACCCAGACCCATGTACTCTGCTGCTGTGTGAAAATCAAGCATACACTGGGGCTCCGCAATCCTCATGCCGCTTTGGACAGCAGGCTATAGTTGCTTCTTCCCTTCCTCACTCAGAAGACTACAGAAGGCAGACTCAAAGCATGCGGGTGCTGCGCCATCAGACCCTGGCAACACCAAGAGTGGCACCTTTGGGGAGGGCTCACCAGTGTCCTCCCTGTCCATGCAGGCCATTCCTCAGTTACCAGCGGATGTACTATGTGTTCATATACATGCTGTCCAGCGGGCCTGCCTGGTTGGGCATCATACTGCTTGTCACAGTTGGCCTCCTCCCTGATGTCCTCAAGAAGGTCTTGTGCAGGCAGCTGTGGCCCACGGCAACGGAGAGAACTCAGGTAAGGAGGCTGCCTAGCCAGGCCAGCCACTTTCCTCTGTCTGTCTTATGACTGGGAAGTTACTAAAAGAGATATCAAAGGGTCTGGGCATCATAGAACTGACCAGCCTGCACCTTAATTTTTAGTTCTTCAATGACACATGCTTTAAGTGTTCTATTGGTAAAATTCAAGATGCACAATGTTTAATGTGTTCTTTAGACCAAAACAATCATCTGAAATAAGAAGAGAACAAAGATAAGTAGAAAAAATAAGTTACTTTCTGTAAACCCACAAAAAAGTAATTGTTCCTTCTATCATTGAACTGTGGTCTGGTCTGGTGCCCAGTGATATAGGTACCCACTTAGCATGCGCAAGACACTGGGTTCATTCCCTAACTCTGGAAAGGGAAAAAGATTTAAGTGGTGCCACTTTTAAGGGTGGTGAATTTACTTTTACAAGAGTAAGTGGTAGGTATGGGGAACTCTGTTTCCCACCTCGAAAACTGGCCAGCAAGCTGAGTCCTCAGAAGGATGGGGCAGAGCATGAGACAGTCTCTGTGGCTTCCTGTCACATTTGAGCTCATGAAGATGCAGATTTTCCACTTTGCCTGTGAGAGTCCTAGCCTTCGAGTGAGGCAGGGCTATGGGGGCTTCATCTCCAGCATCTCCCCATAGCTTGTGGTGCTCCAGCTTAACAACACAGGGCCCTGTGCAGAGACAAGGACTGAGCTCCTGCACAGGGAGACAGCTAGGAAGGAGCCACGGTGAAGGTCCCTTGTTACCTGGCTTACCTGGTGTGTGGAACTTGAGTCTAGTGTGGAACAGCCGGCCATGTTTGGGGTGGGAAGCAGATGTCCCTGCCGGGAGCAGCTGTGCCTCCACCCCAGAATTCCCAAGCTCAGGTTTGTTCTCTCAGGACTTTAGATCACCAGTTCTTTCTTACTCTATGCCTCCTGCAGCCGTTGATAACATCTGTTGTCAGAACTCTTCCCCGGGCCTCTGGTCATGGACATGGCCACTCAGCTGTCAATGGTCCCAAGTCAGTGCTTCTCAACAAATGATGGCAGGCAGGACTAGCTGTAGAGCTTGGGGACCCTCACTTCACAATATGGAAGTCAACCTGCCACTGATCACCCTACCCACAGAGTCAGTGCTTAGCTGTCCTGGTTTCCATGAGGATGGCACTCATTGCCCCTAGCCAGCAGCCCAGCCGAGGGGGACTGGAGAGTTACCCCTCAGCTGTCTTCCACACACAGAAGCCTTTGCTCATCAGCACTGCAGCTCTAAGGCTGACATGTACTTCCTGACAGACACAGTGCTCACACACGGTGGTGAAGGCCTGTGTGTACCCAGGGTTACAGTGGACTTCCCAATACCAGGGACACTAGATGGATGTGCTCATTAGGATGCCTGTGTACAGAGCAGCTGTGACCATGACAGCACACCACGTACAAGGACAGAATGAGCACTCGCTGTGCATAGGGTGTATGGGAAGTCAGGGGCACGTGCTCACAACAGCACTGTGTGCATGGGGT